AATATGGGGCAATGAAAGGGTTGCACTACTAAAACACGATGATTATGTCAATTTTTTTTTGTAGTTTTCAATGCACAAAAAATAAAACTGTTTAACTTAAAAGTTTTTTTAACTTGTTTCTGTTTAAATATCTCTGTAATCTGTGTTATTAATTTTTCCACAATCGTTTTTGTGAATAGAAGGATATATTAGCGTGGGCTTTACATGATCGACCTATTTTGACTTTAGAGAGGAATGCATAGACTGTAAATGAGATTACACTCTACGTCATTTTCATCTGTGAACGGCGGTTCGTGGCCCGGACGAAATTTTTATAACGAGACGAAGTCAAATGTGTTATAGACACATGTTGGAATTAAACTTATGACCCGTTAATATTAGACATTACTTACAACTTAACATTGCTGGAAGAGTACAGCAAGGTACTGTGATAGCTATGGGTCCCAAGTTTATATTTTGCAATTTGTATTACTCATTATTTCCCAGTATTTTTTAAGTAATAAGTAAAAAAAAGATCTTGAGCTGATCAAAGAAATGCCCAATATCTTCACAATACTTTTCCCTTTTCTTTTCGTAGCATTTTCACTAGAACTCTTGGATGCAAGCCAGTCGTTGCTGGATATTTATTATAGTCTATAGTTATTACACCGAGAGAATATATAACATTCATTTTTACTTTTACAATTCGAGACTTTTTAAACATTAAATTTGAAATCTATTTTAGATTTAAAACATACATATAAATGCCAAATGTATAAGCTATTTTATTTTTCAACTAGCACTGTTTGTAGCAGTTAAATTTGTTAGCTAATATGTTTCGTATAGGCTACGCGAGAAGCACACTTAAATAAAGCACATTTTAACGGTTTAATAAATACCGGGTCATGGGTTGAATTACTAAAACGTGTAAGACCACGAAAAACATGTTCGTTTCACTACTTTATTTTCATTACAGGCAAGTTGATCATATTTCTGTGCCCTGCCCGACCGAAACAACGTATGTTTCCACGGGATTCATAAATACCTAATAAAACCTATCGCGCTGTACTCAATGCTAGGCAACACATTTCACCATTTAGCATCGAAGGCGGTCAGATCACTATCTATTCTATAGTCATATTGTAAAACTAAAGAGTTTGTTTGTTTGAATGGGCTAATCGCAGGAAATACTGACTAGGATTGACCAACTATTTTCTGTTGTTTGTACCATTTATTGAGAAAGAAATAAGGATATAAAACATCAGGCTTCGAACATTAAGAGCGAAGAAATAGGGGCAAATCTGGGAAAGGGGGGAAATATTTAAGGGCTCCTGTTACGTCCACTTCAAAAGTGATTCAACAAACCGAAAACCTATATACGAATTTTTTATTCTTTAAATGATCAAAAAAATCCGCGTCTGTATATATTTTAAGATCCGCTAGAACAACGGGACGGGGACGACGTCATGACGTCATAACATCTATAATTTATAAAGCTGAAGCTGAAAGCTATTCCACGCGAAGTTACGGGCACAGCTAGTCATAAATACAATTATAAGGGACTTATATAACGCGCTGTAGTATGGTACAAGCCTTATAGAACTAACTCGGCAATCGCCACTCGATTTCCCTTCAACACAATACGTAATCCCGCGAAGCCTTCGATACGAGCCATTTAGAACATCTGAAGCCATCTTGAATAAAGAAATCGGTTTTTTAATTCAGCGCTCAGCTCTTCCTTTCACGTGATTGAAAGTACGGATTGATTGTTGTTAGAAAAAGTGCTGATGGAATAATTCAAGGAAATGTTCATCGCATTTACTTGAATTTATTCAAATACTGGCTGTAGTTTACGCGAGTAGTACAAATTTAAATAAAACAGTTTAACGGTGTAAAACGCTACTACTACCGACCGACGTTTCGTATGCTTTGCAGCAGCCGTGGTCAGCTGCGTAGTTAAAGACATTTTCAAATAAGTTTAACCAAAATTTGTCGCGTTTTAAACAGTTAAAATTTTATTTGAATTTATTTTCCAAATGGTAAATCGCTTTTACATTTAGGACTAAATCGGAACTATTTAAATAGCCATATCAGATTGAATGTCGTTTAAAGGAAGAAAGTGTTTTACACGACTGGACGTTTACAATTTCACGAAATATTAAAAATTGGAAAGAGAAACGTGCACAGATTAGGATTTTCTTAAGTTTGACATTTACGTAGGGAAGGTAAGGTTCAAGTAGAAACTCCCTCTCGTGCATTACTGGTAATATTAAATAAGTCGCTTTTGAATCAGTTTTTTTGCGTTATTGTTTTGTGAAATAATTAAATGCGATATATTTATTTAGTTCTCCGTCCCAACTAAGCTATTTATTTTACAAGTATTATATTAGGTTTAGTATAAATGCATTTATGATCTCCGTGTTATCTGTAGCCTCTATTACAGACTATAAAAAGGTCATCATTCGATCTCCATGGTTTGAAATTGAAATTGTAATCTTTCTCTGTTGAAGTTGATTAAAAACCAAACTGTAGTGAGGCATCTATATCAACAATAAAACACTTTTAACTGTTTAAAATTAAAAACTTATTTTTAACTAATACCATTAACATATTTATACTTACCGACCGACTTCATTTAATATCTTAGACCTGGTCACTGGGGAACAGTCCACCAAAATATTGTTGCAAAACATCCAAAACGTCGGGTCATAGTAAGAATGAATTTAAAAGCATTCGCGGTTTTGAAACGGTAAATGTGTTTTATTTAACGAACAAGCCTTTATTTACATCACATTATTTAGCTTTTTCAGGGAGGTAAAGATGTTTATCTTAAACAAAAACATCCGTAAAATTCAGATCAACTCGAAAACATTCCTTATCTTATAAAAGCAAGCATGTTATTACATTCACATGGTACTAATGAGAAGGCAGCGCCTTTGGCGTGTAATTGGCAAAGCCTTTGAACAACATTACTAATTTATTTTCTGTCGGCCTTTGTTTTTTATCTACATAATGGATAATGAGGCTTCCATGAAGAAAATTAGTATCTTTAGTAGGTTCTAGAATTTATTCGTTCATTATAGACGGTCTCGTTGGTATTATGGTAGCAAGGTAATCTACGGGTCGCGGGATCGATTCCAATGGGCCCTTGTTTCTAATTAGTTCATAATTAAAAAAACTGTTTAACGGTTTAAAACGCGATATATTAGTTAAACTTATTTAAAAATTATTTTTAACTTCTTTTCAGTCTCCCGTGACCACGGCTGCTGCAAAGCATCCGAAATCGGCCGAAGTTAATATAATATATCGCGTTTTAAACCTTAAAGTCATTTTATTCATGTGTACTACTCGCGTAAACTATAGACAGTATTTAGTATATTATTTCTTAAACATGTTGGACTTTGTCTGGAAATCTTAATATTTAACGGGTGGAAACGTCTAAAATGCGGGTCTAATATTTTTTTAAATCAAATTTATATTCTGTTATGAAACAACCTGTTGAATTTTTTATTTCTATATGCATAGGTTGCCTGGAAGAAATCGCTTTAGGCAATAAGGCCAACGTTCAACAAACATTTTTATTTGTATATATTATTTTAAGTGTCTATGTACATATTTGTGCAATAAAGACTTTTATTATTATTATTGGATGTTGTCCGGAAAACTCGATATTAAAAGGGTGATAGGAATATTGATTCCGTCGAGGTCAAAGAAAAGCCGTTTAATCACGTTTCGGTGTCAGTCTGTGGATTTCCGAATAAGTGTTATAGACTGAGGTATGTCACCTACCCATGTTTGTCTATTCTCTATAATAAATAATTACTTAAACTCCAATGAAATATATCACAAAGGCGTGGCACAGCTTAACCTAATCTTGAATTTAAGGCTCCGTAAATTACCCTGTTTCTTCAAGATGTCTCATAATAAAACTTTATCCATACATTTGATATGACAAAGGAGATAAAGTTTGCCAAGGCATTGTCACAGAGCGTAGCTTCAGCGGAGGACGACGAATAAACTCTAAACAAGTCAAATTGAAATTTGACTATGTCGAAGGAATATTTGTTACACAATATACACATATTATATACAGCTAATATTGGTATTTCGTGCACAAATGCTCCTTGGTCTTGGTAAGACTACTCTAAAAAAGATGATATGGGAGTTCGACTATCGGTTATGCAACGAAACATAAATATATATATACATTTTTGCTTCAATTTTTTTAAACGACCAATAAACACAATTTTCACCTGGGATATCCCAGCTTAGAGAATAAATAAAAATAATAAAAATTAGATGAGTCCCTTGATTTTTTAAAGATTGTCTTCAAATTGCTCTAAATTAACAATTATTGTTGGATACTATTTACTACTCGTAATTAATTGTAATTGTTTTAAATTTATATTATTATAATAATTACAGCTTTATTTATAGCACAAAAACATTATTTATAAATATATGTATATAATCTGTGTAATTTTGGCTTACATGTTTATTTTTTATTTTTTTCTTTCCTTCTTCTTATTTAAACAAGTAATATTATATTTTGGCATGGGATACAATCTATGGACGCTAAAATACCCCAGCCACATAACATCTCATCAAGATGCGCTGTCGTCCTATTATGAATTATATATATATAGTATACACCTATTTTAGATATGCGGAAATGAAACTGAAGCCGAAACGCGAATAAACTTCGCGGCTTTTCCAGTTATGGACTTGGAATTACGATAGTACTACCAATCTAATATCTTGTTTTCCAGACGAAGTCCAACATAATTTAGAAAAAATATAAATTTAATAAAAACATCTTGGGCCTAATGAGGATCAAACCCACGGCTCGTTAATTACTAAACCAACGAAACCATAAAACATTGTTCAGTGTACGTCCCTTTCAATCATTGTAACTCTCTATGTATATTCTTAAGAAATAATAAACTAACTTCTCATTCTTTGTTCACAGATACGAAGCTTCAATGTGCAGTAAAGACGATGTCTAAGAGAAGAAATTAACCATGACAGTTGGCATCCTTTTCGGAGCCATAAGTGCGCTGGCTTTCGTTACACGGACCGGTAAGTACATCTTTTATATAATATTTAACTGTATAAATAAATAAACAATCTTTTTTACCCGACACCGAAAAAAATCAAGGTTTTCATTCTCCGTTCCACTATAGTTCACGTTTAAAATGCTGAGCCGATTTTAATGAGGTTCGGTATTAACCGTTAAAGTATCAAACATATATGACGTAATAACTAGTTTTTTTAATAAAACACTTTTAACCGTTTAAAACGCGAAATATATTAGTTTTTTTCGGGCCATAATTAAATCAATTATGGGACTTTTCTCGTATTCAAGATTATACGAATTGTTTGAAATATGTTTTTTTTAATTAATTAGTTTTTACTTTCATTTTTTTAATATGGTTTGCAGTTAATAGTAACTTTCTTATACTTCACGAGGATCTGAAAACAAGCGAATCACCACTGTCCTAGGTACTAATGAACAAACGGAGTATTCTCTTCTTTTTCACAAGCATAATGTACCAAATATTAAATAAAAAAAATTAAATTAGTAAAATGTATACTTGAATGTTTGGAATAATTGTTTTGAGTTTGAGTTTTAAACCGTTAAGCGTTTGATTTAAATAAGTCCTACTTACGTAAACTAAAATACTTAAATAAACCAAATGGGAAAGGGTGAAATGGTCACTTAATGTGGACTGATCACCCCCTACCACAGGTTCCCCGAAAGAAAATAATAATAATAATAAATAAACTTAAGTATGTTTTTATTTTTACATATAATTAAAGAATATAGACTAGAATCTTTCTTCGAAATCTTGAGATTTAGAAAAGTAGTTGATTTAGCTTTTACTTGTTCTCACTAATAATACGAGGGTAGGCGAATTTTTGGAAGTCATTGCGAATAATGGCGGGCGTTGATTAAAGTGGTCAGGGCGTAATCCAGCAGCTTTTAGGATTTAACTGCTCTAAGAGATTTCAATATAAAGTTGGTTTTAAATCGCTGTGTTATTACGTTTCGTTTGGATTAAGTTCTTTCGGGTTTTAATGGATCTATTTACTTCGAAAATTGTTTCTTCTCAAGTGTTTCCAACGATTTATATTAAATTTGTTACAAATTATTCGTAATATTGAGTTTTCAAACGCTTGCCAATATGAACCTATAAAATTGTAAAGCTGAAAAATTAGTTTGTTTGATCGCGTTAATCTCAGGAACTGCTGATTCTTAATTCTTATTCAAATTGTTCCGGACAGCTCGCGTTAGGTTTAAAGCATAGTAATATTATTGAGAGCATATAAATAAATAAATATTCATTATACTTAAACATTAGGAATGCGTTGTACGGCCATAAATTGTAACACTAAATAGACCCTTTGTTTTGTATCCACTTTAGAAAGGTACAATTTATTGACTGCGTTATTGGATAAGTTACGTTAGTTTAAGCGTTGACAAACGTAAGAAATCGTCACGCATTAGTTTAAGTATTTGCTCTGAAACAATAAAGTGTTTGTTTCCCATGAATCCGACGCCACGCTACACTCAATACCTGCAACCCATTTCTCTCTCTTATGACTGGAATAATGTACCATAAAAGGGGGCTCTGGGAGCAAAGGTTCTAAAAAGCCGCGTCCAACAGAGCCGCTCTGGGAGCGCCCAACTACACCGTTCCCGTCAAAACACGCTGGAGAAGGCCGCGTAATGTTTTTACCGACCCCGACGACGACTTAACGAAAGCCGGCGATTTCCCTACCGCTTTGCGATCGGGCGACACCGGCGGCGGGCCCCCCCCACCACCCCCCGCCGCCGGGGGGGGGCGCCCCCCCCCCCCCCCCCCCCCCCCGGGGGCCGTCCGTCCCCCCCCCCCCCCCCCCCCCCCCCCCCGGCCGGGCCGGGGCCGGGGCCCCCCCCCCCCCCGGGGCCCCGGCGGGGGCTCCCCCCCCCCCGCGGGCGCCCCCCCCCCCCCCCCCCGGGCGGGGGGGGGGTGGGGTTGCCCCCGCGGGCCCCAACCCCAAACCATAAATTAAAAAAAAGGTCAAACTAGTTCACTTCTAACATCGACACGGCACGCATCGCGAGTCCAGCTCACTCTTTGCGGCGGCCATAGACGCTGCTCCTCTCACGGTTCGCGTCGCAAGTACTCTCGCAATGTATTGATAGATAGTTAACGCGGCCGTTGTAGACTTTTCGTTTCCATACTTTGTGCGCACGATAAAGGCGCGTAGCAGTAGCGTGGCAATCGGATGTCGTGGCATAGCGACATATTCGTTAGCGGCAACGTACTGGTAGTTTTATTTCCAAACCATCAAGACAACCGGTTATAATATAGTTTAGTGTACGCTATACAGTCCCGTACACAAATTAAGATTGTAAATAAACTTGTAAGAACAACGGAACGCGGACGAAGACGCTTGCGTCTTGTAATTTTTCTAAAACAAGTTGGCCTTCGTCTGGAAATCTGGACATTAGATGGGTGGTAGGTGGATCCAAATTCCATCCGGGTCACGAACCACCGTTCACAGATGAAAAGCCGTGCAGTCTGTGGATTTCTGAAAAAGGCGAAATAGGGGGATTGTTTGTTCAAGCGTTACATTGCTTGTCTATACTCGTCTATCATTAGCAAATAATATTGAGGGTAGACATGAAAATTAGGTACGCAGTCCCAATTAATATTCCGTTTCTGTAACAGTTTTTGATTAGACTGAAAATGTACGGTTTGTTAATTATTATCACGTTTGTTATACGTTGTTGTTATTATTAACATACATTGTATTAAATACTGTCTGTAGTTTACGCGAGTAGTACACATTTAAATAAAACACTTACCCGCCCAATTTCGCCAAATATCAAGTTTGACGGAATAGGTGACGCTAGCGTAGCATTTTTTTACTTTGACGTCAGAGACACCATACATTTTTAGTTCCCCCGTGACCACGGCTGCTGCAAAGCGTCCAAAACGTCGTTAAAAGTGCTTTATTTAAACAGCGAAATAAAACGCGATATATATTAGGTAACCTATTTCTATACTTAAAATAAATTGTAAATACGATAACGAATATATTTCACGTTTTAAAAAGTTAAAAGTGTTTTATTTGTATGTATGTATTTATTACGTTTTAAAACGACAAATTTGTTAGTTAACTTACTTACATGCTTAAAACAAATTGCAAATACGTTCACTAATATATTTAGCATTTTAAACCGTTTAAGTGTTTTGTATATATACAGTGTTTAATATGAAAAAAATATTTCAATATATCTTTCTCCTCAACGCGTTAAGAGTGTAAGTGTTGAAAGCAAATTTAAATTAGCAACCTGGAAATACAAAAAAATCAACACTAGTATAGAAAATTATTTTTAATTCTACAGTATAAAGGAAGTATTATTTTCAAGTTATTAATTTTAACTGACCCGAGCGCTCTTCGACAAAAAACGGTATATTTAATTTAATGTTATAAGAGCCGTTTTGTCCCATTTTAACGGTGTAAAATTGTACATTTGAGTTTAATTTAAAACTTCATATTCTAGAATGAGCGTAATTCCGTATGTCTTATTTAGTTTATTTTTACGATATTATGTATCTATTAAAGACACTCTTAACGGTTTAAAACGCGCAGTATATTACTGAAGTAATTTTTAACAATAATCCGACGTTGCCGGTGCTTTGCAACAAAGTTGACAAAATTGACGTCGGGTCGAAATTCACAATAAATTTCGAGTTCAAAACCGTTCAAAATATTTCATTATAGCACTAGTATATTACACACCTATTATTGTCTGTAGATTACACGAATGATCATCAATGTAACAGTATGTATGTCCGTCTGCCCTAAACGCCATGTAGGGAAAAAAGTTAAAGTTACTTGTATTGTATGTTGTAATCACGTTTTAAACCGTTAAAGTGTTTTATTTAAACGTCGCTCGTATCAATTGCCTCAAATTACTTTTCAACGCAAACAAAGTCACAAGAACACATAGTGAATAAATATACCCAAACTTGATTTTTATTTGTTTTAAAAAATTTTTTTTATATTTAAATGTAAGTACGTAAATTTAGATTGTAGTAACATTTTGAAAGGTGTTACGATTGATTCTTTCTTCGTATATATTGATATCTTATTGTTTACAGGTTGCACAGATAATGCGAACGGCCTAAGTCCTGACGGTGTCCCGGAAATAGAGTACACTGACGTGGATCTAGGTCTTACCCAACGAGGACCATACTTCGACGTACCCTACTCCAAGAATGTTACAGCTTTGGTTGGAAAGACAGCTCAACTGAATTGCAGAGTTCATAATCTCGGCAACCGAACAGTAAGAATGTTTTCTATGTTTGTTTTTATCATAGAGACAATAAACATATTTTATTTATTTATTTTTATAGTGGCTGTGCCCGCAACTTTGTCCGCGTGGAATAGTGACTTGGGGTAGAATTTTTAATTTCTTCTGGCTGTTTATTGTAAATGCTACTTTGGCGCAACACTCTCACCTCACATCACTCCTACTCTAACTCCCACTCTCATTTCTACACTCACGCCACTCTCACTCTCACTCTTATTTCCAAAAAGCCAAAGAAGAAAGGTTTATTGTTGTGGCTTCAAACCACGAATTTCGATACAAACTTTCATCTCCTTTTTCAACCCCTAGCAACCTTTTTCTCTAAAATATCTGTGTACCAAATCTCATTTAGATCAGTTCAGTAGTTTCCGAGTTAAAGCCAGACAGTTATAATATTTTGATTTATGATATTATATATTGTTGTGATGTATTAAAACTGAATTCTTAAGCAATGTCTATAGTTTACGCGAGTAGTACACATTTAAAAACTTTTACGGTTTTAAACGCGCTTTTTTTTTTTAACTTTTTTTTAAATTTTTTTTTTTTTTGGCCCCCCCCCCCGATAATCAACTTGGACGTCGGTTCTCCATCTTAGTCTCCCCGTGACCACGGCTGCTGAAAAGCATCGAAACGCCGGGGCGGGGAAATATTTTTTTTTTTTAAAATTTTTTTTTTTTTTTTTTTTTTTTTTTTTTTTTTTTTTTTTTTTTTTTTTTTTTTTTTTTTTAATTAATTTTTTTTTTTGGGGGTAGATCCCCATCGGTTGCGCGTTTCTAATCAATTTATAATTTTTCTGCAACCTATTAAACTTTGTTTGGACATCTTGATATTAGAAGGGTGGTAGGAATAACGAATCCGTCCGGGTCACGTACCACACACGTCCACAAATGAATTAGCCGTCAAATTTAATCGCGTTTCGACGTCAGTCTGTGGGTTGCCTAATAACCAAAGTCAAAACTGGTCGACAGCGCGATGTTTATAGCTGGCGTATTTGACCTACCATCGAGTGAACTCCAGGTTTGTCTGTCCCCCTATATCATTAAAAAGAGTGATATCTAAATGAAGTGTTTTTAGGTATCATGGATAAGACATCGCGACATCCATCTCCTGACTTCCGGGCGGATGACGTACACCTCTGATCAAAGGTTCATCAGTGTCCATAATCCACACACAGAGGATTGGATACTAAAGGTAATAAATAAATTCATTCCGTTTAATATTTCTAAATGATTGGGCATTGGGCACAAATCCCTGAATTTATAAATTCTTAGACCCACCACGCTGTTATATTGTGGATTGGTTGGCTCTAATGACTACAGTCACTTAGCGAGGATAATCGGGAACAGCTGATAATCGTACGTTAAAGAATTGTGGTGATCTTGGAAAAATTCTAGAATCATTTTTCTGTCAGAGATAATCCCTGGACCTCATAATACAGTATGTTACGTCAACTATACTAACAGTTAGGCCAATGAGTTAGTATATTGTATAAGTAGTATGAGAATTAGATATTTCATTCATATTTTCAGCAATTGAATAACGCAATTTTAAAACGATATTCAAAATTATTATTTCTTTTTAATTTTTTTTTGCTTAATTTTTTTAAAAAACCCCCCCGTATCGTAAGTTTTGCGGTAACCTCGTTTTGCGAGGTTCTGCGTCTTGCGTGACCGCATTTCCCGTTTAGAACCGTTAAAAGTTACAAAAAACTTTTAAATATAATTCATACATTTCTAAGAAGCTTGGCTTATATTACAATTATGCACTTAACTGTAATCTTAATGCCGCGTGCATCTATTAAAACGTACACAGTACATAAATAGAACAGTAGGATCTAATTAAATAATTATCTCCGAACCAATTATATTGGTCTACAGCACTAATTGATTAAGCTTTGAAGATCGGTAGCGGTAATCGCCAGCGAAATTCCGGAATATTTAACTACGATATTGAATATCCAATTATAAATCCATCTTAAACCCTTACCTTTGAGATTAACCGCAATTCTTGGATATTAGAGTAATTATTCGAGGCTGGTTGGACTTTTCAAATAAAGCGGTCAAGTGTGAGTTGGGATCTCACTTTGGGGGTTCCGCATAAACATTTGTTTTATACAAATTTCATAAATTGAAGAAAAATGTTAAATAACTTTGTCCTTTCATAATGTTGTTAACGCATTAAAGTTTTCTTTTTTATATCTAATTTTATAATATATTTTTTTTTAGTCTTAGCCTCTTTGAAATATAAATAAATCATTGATTTTTAACAAGTTTTACTATAAGCCTTGGTTTGTTTTCGTGCGCATCTATGACAACAAGGGCAACTGTTTTAAACAAGATTTTTTTAACTTAATGTTCATCACCTTAATAAATGTTTATAGCACGTTATATATACACAGTCCAAGAAATGTATGTACACGAATTTGGCATTGTTTTTGGAGAGAAAAAAAAATATATGTGTTAGTGTGTAGAGACATTTTCCTCAATTTTATAACTAAAATATCTTAGATATAAATGCACCAAAAACGGTTTTTCTACAGCACAACATAATATTTAATAACTAAATATTTTCTACGTGTTACGTCCATGATAGCAGTCCATGACCAATTGGTCAGAGGACACCAGTAGACGCGCTGCCGGTGTCGTAATTTAAAAAAAATCTAAAATCGATTTTTAAATTTACGTGAGTATTGTTATTTTTGTGCTAAGTATGTATGTGGATATAAGAAACGTTTCTTTTTGTCGCAAACATCGATAAGGAACCAACGTCTTCGCTGGCGCAGGCCCAAGTCTGTAAGTCTACCTGGTCATTAACATAAACAAATGTTACAGATAAGGTTCCCACAGAGGAGGGACTCCGGTATATACGAGTGCCAGGTCGGAACTACTCCACCAATCGGTCACCGGATGTATCTTTCTGTAGTAGGTGAGTGAAAATAAAATTTAAAAGTCTCTACTGCCCACAATAGCCTGTGTCGTGGGTGGGTTGTTCATGATAGAAGAGTAAAATGTTTGCTGTTGACCTATTCAATCTTGGATTGTATTCTTTAATATTTTTACATCGTCTCCCCTGACCACGGCTGCTGCAAATCGTTAGAAAGCCCAAGTAAATATCATTTTCAAATAAGTTTAACTAATATATCACGTTTTAAACCGTTTGAAAGTTTTTTTTTAAATATTTAAATACTTCTGTTACATTAATAAAATCGATCAGTAAAACAGTCACAGAAATATGTGTGCCCCACACGTAATTCGACACAGTGTACTTCGAAAAGTTAATTGTTCTTTCGTATGGTCAGTCGAAATAATGATGAATACTGGATGACATAATCACCTACTCAAAAGGGCGAAAACCATTTCTCAATTACGACAGTCGACACGAAATTCCAATGCTTTGCAAAATGGCGCAAACGCCCAATGGGTACTAAGTATAAGACTGTTAGAGACTAAAGTTAAAAATAATTTTCAAATAAGTTTAACTAATATATCGCGTTAAACCGTTAAAGTGTTTTATTTAATTGTGTACTACTCGCGTAAACTATAGACAGGAAGGTAGTTGATCAGGCCTTTACGTCCCAACGTGGTATTGGATTTTCGCTTGTTAATAAAACATTACTAAATGCAGAACCACTGACTACAATTCTCGGGGGACCAGAGCTCTTCATCAACACAGAAAGCACCATCAACCTGACGTGCGTGGTCCAGCACTCCCCAGAACCGCCACCAGCGATTCAGTGGACCCACAATGATGAGGTAGAGTATACTTTTTTTATATAAAGTTAAGCTTCCCTCGGTCGTGCCGTGTTTTTGCAAGTTAATCTGGCAAGATAGACAAAATATAGTGTCGTGGACTTTTTTCTTAGATCATTTAAACAGGAATCATTCTTTGATACTACATATTTTTTGGTATTAGGAACGTGTTTGCAGCGTACGCCTCGGAAACCCGTAATGTTGAATAATTTTCCCTAATTTAAATAAAACACTTTAACGGTTTTAAACGCGATATATTAGTTAAACTTATTCGAAAAATGATTTTTAACTTCGGCCTGGCGTTTCGTGACCCCAGCTGACCCCGTGACCACGGTTGCTGAAAGGATCCGAAACGTCAGGCCGAAGTTAAAAAATCATTTTTCGAATAAGTTTAACTAATATATCGCGTTTAAAACCGTTAAAGTGTTTTATTTTATAATGTGTACTACTCGCGTAAACTATCGACAGTATATAATTTTCCTACTTTTTTCACATTTCTCGCTGTATCTTCGTTTGTTTTAATCAAAGGTTTTAGAGCCAGTGAGGAAGCTATATCCTCGATAAATGATCTAACGAACACAAATAATTTTTTAACCCGTAGTTCCTAATTAGCGCGTTCTAACATACAAACAAACCCTTCAACTTTGTGTATGAGTATAGATAGATAAAATTATTATTTTTTAAATTATAATGTCACTTTGAAACTTCTACTATACAGTAGTAGATTGTAGAAAAATAATAAATAAATGTTTTTTTCGTGTTAAGAAGAACTAAGATAGTAGTATATACTTTTTTAAAATTTTAAAACTCGAAATATTTGCCGTATCCAAATGCGGTCTGTTAAGAGGTAACAAATATTTTGCGCAGTTTGAACAGTCTTAAATGTTCTATTTAATAACTTACTATGTTATTATTTCTCGGGGTCTGTGTGTAATTTTTATAATAGTTACAAGAAGATCAATTAAAAAATCTAGTATGATGTATGTAAAAAATATAATTTAACTGTTTAGATTAAAAACTTGCAGACAATGACATAAGAATACCCTTTTTAATAATAGAGGAAGACACTCAAACATGGGGTACCCTTTGCGCTGTCGACCTATTTTGACTTTGGATATTCGGTAATCCACGACCTGAAACCTAAACGCGATTTGGCTTCACGGCTTTTCCATCTTTGGACGATGGTTCATGACTCGGAGGGGATTTCGCCCATTTATTATCCAGATTTCCAGACGAAGTCCAACATGTTTAAAAACAATTATATATTGACAAATTAGAACATGGGGAACGAACTCATCCATCTAAAATCATGACCCGATGATTGTTAACCATACATTGCTATTGTTAGACCAACCAAGAAACGACTTAACAAAAATTAGTTTTAGTCTGTTAAAATTCCATTTGACAGTAAAGTGCTTTAAGTATTTAACCGGCAGCATTAAGCTTGGTACAACGTGAAGTGGAAAAGTTACGAACATTACACCTAATGTGAAGTTAAGAGACGGTTATGTAAAAAAGGAAGATCATAGCGACTTATAAGCCTTACGAGCTTTCGTCAGGCTCGATAAATCACAGTTTGCCGCTGTTTTATTTTTATTTCGAGTATTTTATTTAGTAGTGTACCGCGAGATGTCGCTTTAATACAATGTATGAAAGTGGAATCCCTTTTCTCTAAGTATTGTGCATGAGGCAAACACATTTCTGTTTCGTTTCATTGATAGGTTTTACAGGAAATTATTCGAACTTATGCCCTAGGACCCCACGCGCGTGATATAACGCTAGGCGGCACGTTTAACCATTTAGCTACATAAGCGGCCATATAGTGAATAAATACGTTGCTTAATTTCAAATAAAACACTTTAACTGTTTAAAACGCGATATATATAAGTGAAACTTGTTTGAAAATGTATTTTAACTACGGCACGACGTTTCGGATACTTTGCAGCAGCCATGGCCATGGGGAGACTAAGGATTACAGACAGAGGGTGTCTCTGGCGTCTAAGTAAAAACTAACTAATGTATATCGCTTTTTAAACCGTTAAAGTGTTTTATTCAAATATGTACTACTCGCGTAAACTACGGACGTTACTTACTAGCTTGTAATGATAGATTCTGTTTTTAAATTCCTGTAAAAAGAATTAAAATATTTTTTTATTAAAGTTAAATTTTAAAAGATAAATGCTTAAAGTAAATTGATTAAGTAAGAAAGAAAGAAACAACCTAGAGCAAATAAAAATTGATCCATATCATCTTGAATATTTTTAAAACCGTCAATTCAACTTTACTTGAGTTCCTATCTAAAAACAAAATGTATTCTCACATTCAAGAGCAACATGACACAAAAATTACTATACAAAATTACATTATAAACAAAAAATACAATAATCCTTGGTAATGGTTCTACTAACACAAATCAAAAATTTAATTCGAACCACTAGTTTCTGAGATTAGCGCGTTCAAAGAAACTAACTCTTCGTACAAGATTAGTAGCCTCTCACAAAAAATCAAATTAATCTACAATTCTACACATTTTAAATACTTTTAACGTCAAATTGATAATTGATAAACTAGAAACACACTTTTTTGAGAACCCACCACTTTCGTGCAGGAGAGCGCATAAAATGACGCAATCAGAGCTCAAGAACCTTCAGCTCGCCCACTTTTATTTACCCCCCTTGAACCGCTGCCAAAACATTGGTCTGCCAGAAAATAAAATTGATGCCTCAACCATTGTTCATCTGATGTCCTAGTTTTAAAGTCGCCATGCGATATTGACGCGTCTAAACATAACTGATAAAGGACGATCAATCTATCTGATTGGTCTTTGATCTCGCCGCAGTTGCCATGGCAACGAGAGAAAATAATTTCCCTATGCATGGACTAGCTGTGCCAGCCACTTCGTCCGAGTAGAATAGTTACTTTGGGTAGTTAAATTAGTTTTTGTAAACCTTCTCGTCTTTTTCAATTATAGCTATTACTAACAACGTCATCAGCGTCTCGTCGTTTTTGCAAGTTAATATTAAAATACAGACACGTAGTGAACATTTTTCAAGATCATTTAAAGAGGAATAATTATTTCATACTGTCTATAGTTTACGCGAGTAGTACACATTTAAATAAAACACTTTAACGGTTTAAAACGCGATATACTAGTTAAACTAATACAATAATAGGGCAATACGTAACCGGTGTAACACCCGCTGTCGCGATGCTCAAAGACGCCATATATATGATACAGTTTCAAATGGTGATCCATCGAAAACTTGGAAATTTCTCAAATATCTTGGAATCGGTAAAGACCACCGCAGTACTAATTCTTCTGATATTGACCTAAATCAACTTAACACTCACTTCACCTCTAATTCATCCAATAATTCCATTAACCTAGAATGTCTGCCTACTATGTCCACTCCCAGCTGCTCTCCTTTCACTTTCAACAATTTTTCTGAACAGGATGTAAAAAACAGCCTAACTTCCATCTCTTCCAATGCCGTAGGATGTGATCTGATTGGTCGTTCCATGATACTTCCTATTCTTCCCGTCATACTTCCCGTCATCACACATATTTTCAAAGTTTTCAATTAGTTCATGTGAATTTCCAGTTTCATGGAAAGACGCTCTTATTATCCCTATCCCTAAAAAAGCCACTCCTAGTTCCTTGTCTGATTTTCGACCTATCTCTATATTGCCATTTCTATCTAAGGTACTTGAACGTCTGATTCATGCGCAACTGAGTGAATATCTTAATAAAAACAAAATATTAGACACACGCCAATCTGGATTTCGACCTGGTGACAGCACCACTACTGCGCTAGTAAAGGTTACTGATGATATCCGTTTGGGCCTGGAGAAAAAGCAGCTCACAATACTCGCTCTTCTTGACTTCAGCAACGCTTTTAATACTGTGAATCATGAAATTCTTCTACACCTTCTACAGTCAATTAAAATGTCTTCTTCTACTATCAAATGGTTTTCCAATTATCTTGTCGGTCGTCGCCAGTGCCTAAAATCTAACGATACGTACTCCCAATGGAATCCTATCGGTGCGGGCGTTCCGCAGGGTGGCGTCCTATCTCCTCTCCTATTTGCTGTCTACATCAACTCCCTTACGTCTCGTCTCACTTCTAACTTTCACCTTTACGCTGATGACCTTCAAATTTATGTACAATCTAGTCCAGAAGAGCTTCCGTTAGCCATACAGGCTACTAATGATAATCTTGCAAGTATAGTCCAATGGAGCAAAGAATGTGGTCTAAAATTAAATCCGGATAAGAGCCAAGTTATTATCCTTGGTAGTTCTTATTACATCAAAAGGCTCGACTGGGCACGGTTACCGTTGGTATCCATATAAGGTGTACCAATGCCATTTTGCCATACTGTAAGGAATTTAGGTATAACATTTGACCGAACCTTGTCGTGGGTTCCACATATTAAAAACATTAGTCAAAAATTGTATGCCGCATCAAGCGTCCTCAGACGTCTCAGCCACTTCCTTCCAATCAGTACTAAAACCATGCTAGCACAATCCCTATTACTGCCTTTACTCGATTACGCCGATGCCTGTACCTCAGATTTAAATGAAGAACTGTTAGATAAGCTAGAACGCCTTCAAAACTTTTGCATAAGTTTTATTTTTGGCTTGAGAAAGTATGACTATGTAAGTGTTTATCGTCAGCAGCTCGGTTGGCTTCCAATTCGACTGCGGCGCGACGCTCATATCTTACACCTCTTATACACTGCTCTCTTCAATCCTAATACTCCTTCCTACCTAAAAAATGATTTCAAATTTCTGTGCCCCTCCAACTATAGTCTACGTTCTTCCGAGAGACTCATCCTAGAAGTTCCTGCCCATAATACTTCCCTTTTTGGAAAATCATTTAGGATCTCTGCGATAAGATTATGGAATTTGCTCCCTGTCTCCATCCGTTTAGCCTCGTCACTGCCATCTTTTAAGCATCTCCTCTATAAGCATTTTTTGTCTATAGCCCATCCACAAAACTAGT